CACTCCTTTATCAAAATCTCCTGCACCAAACCAAAATTCCCCTGCCCTAAATCATCCCAGGGCCAAGGACCAGACAATTAGAGACTGCCCTTATAACCTGGAGCCTACTGAAATTAATTCAACTTTCTTATCCTAAATTTAATCAGCCTACCTACCCTGTTTTGTCCATACCTTCCCATGGAAACCCCAGTAAAGACTCTGGGCAGCCTCTCCTTTCTTGCCCCTCTGTGCCTCCTGACCAACCCTGTCCCGTCCCCATGAACACATGGCTCACATGCCTCCGGTTTCCGGAGCTCTCTGAGTATAAATGTCTTCCTGAATCACAATCATTTCCACATAAATTACCATACATAATGTAAACCCAAATCCTGGATGTATTTTAGAACAGAAGCTAATAAATAACAGGAGCTAATAAATGTCTTTCTTATTTTAAAAAGACAATTCGAGTTAGATTGTTTTAGTTGTGTCAGAAAAAGTCCTAATTGTACATGTAATTATTTATTGCATTATAGTGGTCTCCTGAGGCCTTTGGTTGTCTGGAGTGCATTCTTTTTCCCTTTTTAAGAGCACTCTGACTTCCTTTTAGCATTTCTTCCCTTACTTAGTCCATGTGCTGGAAGTGGGTGTCTCTCCTCAATCAAGGATTGAGGGTGTGACTAGGAATTTCTGTGACTGGTTCAGGGAGATCATTTGACCAAATCTTCTTCATCGTGGCGAGTTATGGGAAGACTTCTTTTCAACTAACTTAAGTTTCTCTTAATTTAGATAAGTTCCCCTTCCATTCCCATTATGTATGTGTGCACACACATGCAAACACATTTTTTCATGATATTGATGTATTGCAAAACCTGTGTTATTTATCCTGTAAAATATTCTACAATATGGATGCATCACCATGCTTCCCTGTGGTATCATTTATTTTCTATATTTTCATTTCCTCTAAATTTAAGTTAACTCTAGAAGCCTGATCAATTCAAGTTCAACATTTTGGGCAGGAATATTTTACAGGTAATGTTCCAAAAACACTTGTGCTGAAATAAGTATTTATCTCGACATGCTAGAATTATTGTCTCAAATCAACAAAATTAAATTAACCAGAATAAATTTTAAAAAACACCATTTTAAGTTGAAAGATAAATTGCAAAGTACAGATGGGAGACACCTGCATAAACATTCAGGGCAGACCACCAGGAGATTCTAACTGAGCTCTGCTGGAGGCAGCAGTGCACAGCAGTGGTTACCATCTCAGGTTGAAGTTGGACAGGATGGCCTTGATCCTTGACTCTGTCACCTACCGGCTCTGGGACTTTTGGTGTGTTAGTTGCCGTCTCCATTTCCTCACCAATTGTAATTTTTTTTTTAATTTTTTTTATATGGTATGGGCTTTTCTTGCTTTTTTTTTTTTTAAAGATTATTTATGCAAAGAAGAGCCAGGGTGCAGGCCAGAGGTTCAGGGGCGGGAGAGTGAGAGGATTCACCAGAGACAGAGTGGGGAACAGAATAGGCAGATCTACTGAAAATACACTTGCTGAGAGGAGCAGCAGGTGAGACAGGAGAGGTCTGCTGCACCACGTGGGTTGCTCCCTGGCCAGGAATCAATCTCATGCTTCAGATAGCTTCCTAGTGCTGAGGTTTAACCCTTGCTTCACAGGGAGGCCTCAGATTGTAATATGTATTTTTTTATTTCACCTTATTTTAATGTTTTCATTGGAGTAACATTGTTTCATAACATTATCTAAGTTTCAGGTGTGCTTCATTCTAAATCAACACCTGTTGATTTCATAATCATACATAATAGTATAGCCAGTGCTCAATAAATATTGACAGCTGGCATTTTTATTAAGTATGGAAAGGATGAAAAATATGACACTAGAAAAATTCTTGCACAGATGCACACAAGTCACATACAAGGATAATCATCACAGCAAGTTTTACAATAGGAAAAATTCTAAATATTCAGAAGTTGGTGAAGAGAGAGATAAAATGAAAGATTTTCATGTAATATAATCTTAAACCTTAGGACTAGGTGTCTATGTATTAACTTGGATGGATCCCAAAAACAGAATGCTAAGAGACACCAAATGACACCTTTAAGTTAGTTAGCCAAATGACACCTTCGATATGATGCTATTTATGGAAAAAATACATACACACAAGATCAACACTGAAACTTCGAACAGGAACGAATTTGTATATAATTGATTTTTTTTTTTGGCTTTGAGTTTTAAATTTTTAAATAATTATAAATTCATAGGAAGTTGCAGAAAATAGTACAGTGTTGTCCTATGCCTGTGCCTTTATCTAGTTTTCCCCAATGAAAACACATTACGTAAGTATAGTTCAATATCAAAACCAGGGAAATGAGATGTTGCCACATCTCACAAACTTTAGATTTCACCAGTTTCTTTTTTTTTTAAGATTTATTTATTTATTTGTTTGTTTATTTATACATACATACAAGAACTGGGGTACCAGCCAGATGCCCAGGAGGGTGAGAGGATTCACCAGAGGCAGAGCGGGGAACAGAACAGGTAGATTGATGAAATACACTGCTGAAGGGAGCGGCGGGCATGACAGGAGAGGTCTGCTGCGCCATGTGGGACCCTCGCCGGCGGGCCAGGATCGAGGCTGCGGACAGCTTCACAGCGCGGTGCTCAACCACCTGCGCAACCAGGGGAGGCCCAAGATTTCACCACTTTCTTATTCAGTTGTGTGTGTTTGTGTGTGTGTGCACTTCTATGCAATTTTATCACCTATGTAGATTTGTGTAACCAGTGCCACAATCCTGATACAGATGTGCTCCTTCACATGCCAGGATAGCCTTTACAGTCATATCTGTCCTGCTCCTCTGAACCTATTCCTAATGCCTGGTAACAATGGGTCTGTTCTCCAGCACAGTACTTAGTCATTTCTAGAAAGTTATGTAAATGAAACTAAATAGTATGCAACATTTCAAACTTTTTTTCACTCAGCATAATTCTCTTAAGATCTATTCAAGGACCTCCCTGGTGGCTCAAGGGGTTAAGTCCCAGCACGATGAAAATATCTGCAGCTACTATAGTATGAGTTCTATCCCCAGCCAGGGAGCTGACCCACACATGGCCCCAGGAGACCTTTCCTGTCTTGCCCACTGCTCCCCTCAGCAGTGTATTTCTGCTCCCCACTCTGGTGAATCCTCTCACCATCCCCCTGTACCTCAGGCCTACACCCCAGCTCTTGTATGCATAATTAAACAAATCTTTAAAAAAAAAAAAAAAAAGATCTACTCAGGCTGTGGTGTGCATTGACAGTTTGTTTCTTTTTATGGCTGTATGGAATTCATGGTAGCATGGACGTACCACACTTTGTTTTACCATTCACTCATTGAAAGATAGTTGTATTGTCTCTGGTTTTTGGCTATTACAATAAAACTGTTATGACTGTTCTTGTATATGAGTTCTTGCAAATGATTTTCTTACTGAATGTTTTTATTTCTCTGGGGTGAAATTTCAAGTATGCAATTTATGGGTTGTATAATAAATATATGTATAGTCTTATAAGAAATTGATGGACTATTTTCCAGACTGAGTATGTCAGTTTACATTCTGACCAACAATGTCTGATAGTTTCAGTTTCTATAGCCTTACTGTTATAGGACAGGGAGAGGGGCAGCCCAAACCCCGCAAACCTGCCTATTCTAAATGGGTTCTGCCATCCGCCGCATCAACAGAAAACATAGGAGACTTTAAGGGGAAGGAACTTTAATAAAACTAGGAAACAATACAGGAAAGGCAAATAATCTAGTTTCTAAATCAAGCACCCAAAGTTACCCGTCCCCTCGTGGGTAAAAGTCCATCCATATGGGATTGGCCCAGAGCAAGGCCCCAAAGCCTGCCACAAGTCTAAAGCATCTTCCAGTGGGGACCCACAGCAAAGGGTCAGAAACAAGCAGACAAGCCTGGAAGGAAAAGAGCAAAATCAACATCAAGATAAAAGCTGCCATTGTCACCTCCCCACGGGTCTCACCCACATCTGTGTCACCCAGTCCACGACCAAAAGACAAGCGCGGTTTCTTCACGTGTCTCTAGGCTCCATGCGCCTCCTCCAGGTCTCCTTCTGGCTCCATCCTGCTTCCTTCCTCAGTCTCTTCTGCCGCTTCTCCTCTTCCTGCTCAGCTCCACCCTCCCTTGGGTGGGGCAGGGAACCTCCCCCTTTCCTGGGGACCACCCTGTTGCATTACCATCATTTGGTATCATTGCTATTTTTTTTTTCAGTCATTCAAGTAGTCTAGAATATATGTAATGGCAACTTATTGTAGTTTTAATTGCATTTCCATAATGGCTAGTAATGTTGAATATCTTTTCCTTTGTGTCTAATGGATATTTTATTTATTTATACAAGCACTGGGTACAGTCAGAAGCGCAGGAGGGTGAGAGGATTCACCAGAGCCAGAGCGGGGAACAGAACAGGCAGAGTGATGAAATACACTGCTGAAGGGAGCAGTGGGCGCAACAGGAGAGGTCTGTGCACCATGTGGGACCCTCGCCGGTGGCCGGGGATCGAACTGGCGCTGCAGAGGCTGCGGGCAGCCTCACAGCCCAGTGCTCAACCACTGCACCACCAGGGGAAGGCCTTCTAATGAATATTTTTTAAAATCACCTCCAAGGATCCACCAAGACATGAAACAGGTTTTTTATTTATTTATTTATTTATTTATACAAGCACTGGGTACAGTCAGAAGCGTGGGAGGGTGAGAGAATTCAACAGAGCCAGAGCGGAGAGCAGAACAGGTAGAGTGACGAAGTATACTGCTGAGGGGAGCAGCGGGCAGCAGGAGAGGTCTGCGTGCCATGTGGGACCCTCGCCCAGTGGCCGGGGATCGAACCGGCGCTGTAGAGGCTGCGGGCAGCCTTGCAACCCAGTGCTCAATTGCTGTGCCACCGGGGAGGCCCCACAACTGTAATATATTCTTAAAGACAAATGATTCATATATTGTTTATATAATTAATCACTAACTAAAATTTTAAGAAACACAGAATACAGAGCTGAAGTAGTGTTTTATCATGGAAAGAACTCAGGCTTCAAACCAGGCAGGCTTGGGTTTGAATTCGTCCGTTCTTATCAGGTGTAACACTTTGGATAGGTGACTTTAACTTCTCAGTCTCACTTGTCTTACCTGCAAAATAGTAATAATAGTACCAACTTCATAGGATTCTTGTGAGAATCTATTTAAATGAGATAATATATTAAAAGGGTGAAGATAGGGCCTCCCTGGTGGCACAAGGGTTTAAGCATCAGCACTGTGAAGCAATCAGCAGCTGCTGCAGCAAGAGTTCAATCCCACTCCAGGGAGGTGACCCACATGACCCAGTAGACCTCTCCTGTCTCATCTGCTGCTCTCCTGAACAGTGTATTTCAGTCAATTTGCCTGTTCTGTGTCTGGTAAATCCTTTCGCTCCCCCTCCCATCTCTAGACTATACCCCAGTTCTTGTATGCATAAATAAATAAATCTTAAAAAAAAAAAAAAGGGAGGGGTGGTGAGGATAGAGTGTGGTGCAAATGAGCTGCACAATAAATTGTAGCTACTATTGCTAATAATGAGATTTTGTTATCTTCTTTGCTGCTAAATTTATTTAGATCATTGACTCTTCTTAACCTAAGCATGTGCTGTAGCATGGTTAGTGATCTCATTTCATGCTTTCTGGATGAGTAATAGCACTTTCAAGTTGTATTAACTCGACACTAGCAAGTCCCTAGTAAACTCTTCCTTGAGGTCCTGCAAATTTATGAAGACATCTGTAATGCTTAACAAAGTTTTTTTCTACACCAATGTGATTGTTAGGTCAAAGCAACAATGGAAAGTATTTCAGTTCCACAATCTTACCAAACAGTAAACAGCAATCATTTAGCCTTACATATATCCAGACTGGTTTGAACAGGTCTACTTGTTTTTCTGTGGCAACCTCACATTCCAAGATAAAATCTCATCCAAATATTCAAAAGGAAACTCAAGCTCTCTGTACTGTGGGACATATAAGGGTGTGTGTTACCATAATTATGTGACAGGTGTGCAAAGTTTGTCTACCATAGCATACCTAGGTTTCTTTGTCACTGGGGATAACTAGTCTATCATCAATGACAACATTGATTCAGGCACCTATACAGGACATCTATAGTTTACAGTGGGAATTTCAGTTCAAGGGCAATGTATCAGTTACCTGTGTCTACCTGGAGAAATATAAAGATGTAATCACAGTTCTAGGAATGTCAGTACAGGTCACAGATTAAACATGATGAATCTTATTCTGAAAATTAAGGAGAAAAAGAACACAAGGGAAGGAAATAAGGAACATTGTTTTTTCTTCTTCTTCTTTAAAGGGCTTTTCTCTCTTTTTTTTTAAGAATTATTTATACAAATGCTGGGTACAGAGGCGCGGGAGGGTGAGTGAATTCACCAGGGCCAGGGCGGGGAGCAGAGCAGGCAGAGGGCCCGAGGTACACTGCTGAGGGGAGCAGCAGGCGACAGGAGGGGTCTGCGCGCCATGTGGGACCCTCCTGCGGTGGCCGGGAGCAGCCAGGGATTGAACCGGTGCTGCAAAGGCTGCGGGCAACTTGGTGCTGCAAAGGCTGCGGGCAACTTCGCAACCCAGCGCTCACTCGCTGCGCCACCGGGGAGGCCCGGAAATAAGGAACATTCTGATAGTCATAATGCTCCTCTTAACCAGAATATCACCGATGAAAAAATAAAAAGGAAAAAAACAGAAATTTCAATATTATAACTGTAATTTATAAACTAATAATAACTTTTTAAATTAAAAGAGTAGTAACACTTATTGGGGGCAAATGAAAAATAGAATTATATAACATGAGAAAGTTCAAAAACCCTGGTCAGGATCACAAAGCTAAATCTTTTTTTTCTTTTCCTTTTTTTTTTTTTTTTTTTTTTGATAGAGGCATGCTTTATTTATTTGTTTGCTGGTTTGTTTGTTTGTTTTGTTTATACATGCACTGGGTACAGTCAGAAGCGCGGGAGGGTGAGAGAATTCACCAGAGCCAGAGCGGGGAGCAGAGCAGACAGAAGGACCGAAGTACACTGCTGAGGGGAGCAGCGGGCGGCAGGAGAGGTCTGCGCGCCATGTGGGACCCTCCTCCAGTGGCCGGGGAGCAGCCGGGGATCGAACCGGCGCCGCAGAGGCCGCGGGCAGCTTCGCAACCCAGCGCTCAACCGCTGCGCCACCGGGGAGGCCCTTCTTTTTCCTTTTTTATAGTCCAGGGCTTATTTTTTATTATTAGCTTTTTAATTTTTTGCCTTACATCATCTGTCACCTTTGTACAATAATTGTTCCCCGTAAGTGCAGTCCCGGCCACCCTCCCGCCACCACCCCAGTCCTCTATGTCCCCCTCCCCGGCTCCAACACCTCCACTCCAACCCTCCCTCGCTGCACACCCCAAATCTATGGTGGCCCCATGAGACTTGTCCTGTCCCTGGACCAGGATCTGCACTGCTGGACCACAGCAGATTAGGCTGCTGCAACTGCAGAGCCTTTCAGGAGCTTCCAGAAGGGCAGAGGTGAGGAGTGGCTCCCCAGGGGCCGTGATTCTGGAATTTCCTATGGAATAGGAGACTGTCCTGTGTTCTCCAGACCAATCTGGTCTCTGAGTTCCGTGCCTCAGTGGTTTATTTTTTCCTCACCTATTATGCCATGAATTCACAGGGAATGGCCCCAGCAGCTCAGGCTCCTTTCCACTGGTTCTCATAAAGTGTCCTGCTCCAGGTGGAGCAGACTGATACTTAAGTTAAATCCAAGTTCCTTTCCCTTTGTCTTTCTTTTCCCTCTGGTCTTTCTTTCTTTTTTTTTTTTTTCCTTTCCACATTTCAAAAGCTATCTCAGCTCTTTCTGTGCTTAATATGCTCAACACAAACATTAATTATCTTGGTAAGAATCTTGCCCTTTACTCATTTGTTTACCAACATGCCTGCCGGGAAACACAGATGCTCCCAGTTTTGCCATGGAAACATTAGTGGGATATTCCTTTTTCTTGAGAAACCAGATCTATACCTGTGTCTATTCTACAGTAGGCACACATAAGTAGTAAGTGAAGGACAATGAGGGGCATTCTAGAACTCTGTCACTTTTCTAGAATGGACCTGAAAGTGTCTATAACCCTTTTCATGGCAAAGGAGAACATTTTCTTATTTGTGAGTCATGCAAAAAGTATATTAAATCATAAAGGAAAACTCATACAAGTCCTCTTCTGTACATCTGTGTCTTCTGCCTTACTCCAAGCCATCAAGTCACTGGAACAGCTTAAGATGCCAAGTTGAGAACCACACACTCAGTTACACCTTGAAGTTCAAGGGTATGGGATGCATCAGGTACATATTCTTTTCCTTACCTCTGTGGCTTGCCCTCATGGCTCACATCCCCCCACCCCACCCCATCTAGTCTCTAGTAATCCCGCTGCCTCTTCCCAGGCTTTATGACCTTTGGTATTTGCTCCATTTCTGACCTCCCCCTCATTCAGAACTTCACTTTCATTTCTAAATATGTAGCTTTAATGACTTATTATATCCTTGTTACAGTATGACTTAGAAGTCCATCTTGATCTTGGGTTCGCTCTGTCTTTGTAGCTTTGAGAGCTCTATTCCATAAAGCATTGTTGGCAGAGAGAGCACTACCATGAAGCTGCTGAAACTTAAGCTTCAACTTCCCTCACATATGTGAGCTACTGTGAGAGCTGCCAGTTCCTAAGAATGCTAGAGTATTTTAGAGACGAGAAGTCAGGTTGCATTTCTGTGTGAACATTTCTGAAAAACTGTCTAAAGCAAATCTCAAAAGAAAGGAATGTGGCTAACAGAGACTTCAATAATGTTCATAATTTTTTCTCATTGAAATATTCTCTTTATTCCATTTTGAACAGTGCCCATCCCCTTGATGTGCCCAATATCACCTTGTACATTCACATGCATATGGCCAAACCAACAGGTTCATGTTTTTTTTTTATATATATATATTTTTTACATCATTTTTCATTTTTGCACAATGTATGCATTTTCATCTTGGTTTCATTCATACAGTTCCCGCCCCCCCTTATTTTGACCCTAATCCCTCTCCCACCTCCCCGTAGTGTGTCTCTGGTTTATAGTTGCTTGTTGATTTTGATTTTTACTTTATTATAATTAGTCTTTTTCCTGGTCCCTTATTTAGGTTTTCTAAATTCCTGCTATTTTTACAGAGAACACGTAGGGGGCGCTTTTCCTCCTTTCTCCTCTCCCTGGGTGGGTCCTTTTGGCCATTCCCTGAAAAAACGGCAATTCCAGGGACAAAACAGAACAGAGAATCAGTGAGACTAATTAATTAGGGTGTGTGCCACAGTGGTTATTGGGGCACATAACAGTCCCCAGCACAAGCTGAACACAGTATGTGCTCTGCTTGGCAACAGTTCAGAGCAAGAGCCAAAATTAAACAGGAAAGTATACTTCATAGGATCCTCTTGCTGAAAAGATTGAAAACCACCAGACTAGATTGCTGTGTTGCTTAAGCAGAAGTAGAGAGTTAACTCCCTGCCAAATGTTGTGCTGCCTACACCTTACCTGAAAGTTAAAGATTAGAAGATGAGTCAGAGTTTGAAGAGAGTTCATGGCTTCATCTGGGAGTTGTAGGTGAAATCTCAGCTGAGCTCATAAAGACCATAATCCAGATAAAGAGTAATCCCAGGAAGGTAGAAGAAACAGACCTTAGGCCTCCAGGCCAATAAAAGCAGCAGGGCCTATACTTAGTCTTATTAGGTTCTATTTGCATATTTTTATTTTAGACTTGTTTGTTAAGCTTCAAGGTCTGAAACAGCTTGTGACAAAAGCTCATGCTGTTCCACACGCTGCTGTTGGGGGATCTGGCCATGGAACATATCCTTTTTAATCTTTTATTGGAAATTTAAATTTATCATGGCCCCCACAAGCCGTGTGCATCTTCTCTTTTCACTAGCAAGTTATTAACATCAGATTTTAATCACAAGGTTGCTGCAACAGAATCTCTTATTTAGGTGGAAGATTGGTGTGTCTCCTGAATTTGATCAAATTTCATGCATTTTATCTAGATAACTCCAATGATTAAATTGAAATCTCCTTCTGTTCTGACCCTTTATTTATCCTTTGGTGATTACAGACCTGACCTGATGGTCAGGTACTTACCTCTGATGTTGGATGGTATTGTTAGGCATAGTGTTTCCCCTTAAAACTTGGGAAAAGAGAAGCTCAAATCTACTTAGTTGTCTTAAAAAATGATTCAGGGGCCTCCCTGGTGGTGCAAGGGGTTAAGTCTCAGCACTATGAAGCTATTTCGCAGCCACTGTAGCATGAGTTCAATCCCAGCCCAGGGAGCTACCCACTTAGTGCAGCAGACCTCTCCTGACTTGCCTGCTGCTCCCCTCAGCAGTGTATTTCAGTAGATCTGCCTGTTCTATTCCTCACTGTCTCTGGTGAATCCTCTCCCTCACACACACACACCCCTACACCTCTGGCCTACACCCAGCTCTTGTGTGCATAAATAAATAAATCTTAAAAAAAAAAGACATAGGACCCCAATTGAAAAGTCATCTAATAGTCAAATTCTGAGAGCAATGGCAGCCTCAGGCAATAACATGAGTGAATGAATCTCACAAATAAAATGTTGGGGAAAAGAAATGAAACAAAAAATATATATTATAATGATTGCATCTATATAAATTCAGAAATAAGCAAAGTTAATTTATGTTCTTTGAAGATGAATGTTTACCTTTGGAGTAGAAAACACTAAATTACATAATGTGTTGGGATAGTGATAGAGAGGGGGTGCAAATGCATCCTCTAGGGTGTTAGTAACATTCTAATCCTTGACCTGGGTGTGGTTACACAGCTGTGATCACCTCCTGATAATGTCTTGAGCCATAAAAGTATGATTTGTGTACTTTTCTACATATGTATTATACACAACAGAATATATTATACATTTTCTTTACTTTTTTAAATGTTAATTTTTAATTGCATGGGACATACAGGAAAACATTCCCTGTATTTTAAAAAACAGGAATTTTTTAAAGTAAGTCCTTTTTAATCACTTTCAAATGTGTATTCCCCCAAGAGGGTATTAGTTTATCCTTTTTATGTATACATAAATGTGCATTTACATACCCAAGTAAGGACATATAGAAAAATATAAAGTATCATTTTATGTGTATTTTAAGAGCTCTGCTCTTTTTAAAACTGTCTAGATTGATGGATTTTGCTTTACCCCTTTCAGTAACACAGGGTGTCAATAAAATCTTTCAAAAAGAAACCTCTGACCATCTTCACTAACATTATAAAGCTTTATGTAATAGGTCCTATGGACATTTTATCATATATGTTCTATTGGATATATATTTACTTATATATTTTATGTGATAGACATTTTATCTTCGTGTACCTCTGTCATACAACCGACAGTAAAACACACAATAAAAGAATCATTTTGTACCTATGAGTCAGCAATCCTCAAAGACAGAAAATTTAATTTGGAAGTGGCAGCCTATAATGGTCAAAAGTAAGTGGTTGAGTTTAAGTAGCAACATATAGAACAAAGTTGTAAAAGTGCTGCTGATGAGATTATGTTAGAGTGTTTTCCATTATGGAGAAGTTTATGGTTGCTCCCAAATCCAGGATTAAATTCAAGCAGGATACTCTTGAATTTGAATATTTGGTAATTTCTACTGTGTAGAATAATGGAGCCTTGATAGAAAGGAAGTCAAAAAGCTTAATTTAGTACTGAACATTCCATATACACTGTACAAACACACGCACATAGACACACACACACAGAGGTGAAAAAAAAATCAAATGCTTTAACAAAATGTATATTTGTGAACATCAGATCCCTGCCCTTTTCTCTCTCAATTTAGTTCCCCAAGGCAACTACCTTGAACTCCTTTGTATTTATTTTTTAAATTTTTTTATTTTTTACATCATTGTTCATTTTTAAACAAATGACTACACCCCCTCACTTGTAGTCCCCAGTTTCCTTCACCAATGCACCCGGGCACCATCACCTCAGTCCCCTGTGCTCCTCCCTCCCTCCCTCTGATCCCTCTCCCACCCCCTCCCCTGCAGGAGTTCCCTGGTTTATAATTGTCTGTTTTTGCTTTGTTGTGTTTGGTAGTATTATTTTTTTACACTGATGTCTTATTTGGTTCCCCTATATTCCTGCTATAAGTGAAACCATCCGATATTTTTCTTTTTTCCTTCTGGCTTATTGCACTAGCTTATTTCACTGGCTTATTTCACTAGCTCCATCCACATTGCTGCGAATGGCATGAGTTTATCTTTTTTGATTGCTGAATAATATTCCATTGTGTATATATACCACATCTTCTTGATCCAGTCATCTACTTTGGGGCATTAGGTTGTGTCCTTTGGGTAGATCCCTAGGAGTGGAATTGCCAGGTCATATGGTAGCTCCATTTTTAGTAGACTGAGGAACTTCCAGACAGCTTTCCATAGTGGTTGGACCAGTTTGCACTCCCACCAGCAATGTAGGCGAGTTCCTTTTCCACCACATCCTTGCCAACATTTGTTGTCTTCTGATATTTAATTCTATATTTCTGAACATGCTTATTCAGCTATTTCTTGATTTTTTTTTTTCAGATTAGGTATCATCTATTAACCATTGACTCTACAAGATCATTTAACTGCCTTACAACTCTTCTCCACACACATAATTCCTTTCCTTTCATTCTCCTAACAGCAACATTTCATATTTGATTTGACAATTACCTATATTTACATCTATGCTGAGCCACATGATAAACAGGATGACCTTTCATATTGCAATTATTTTTTCCTGAATTTAATCGATGCATCACTTTTCTTTTATTTACTAAGTTATCAATACTCACCAAACTCTCTGCTAAAAGTATCTATCTTTCAAAATCTTGACCCACATCAGAAAATCTATAGTTTGTCTATGCGTTGAGTATGTGGGGGGGGGTGAGGAGGAGAGAGAATGACTTCCCTCTTGAAGCATTCTGTCCTGCTTCTAAATTGATCCCTAGCTGATATTCTTGAGATTTTTGTTCCACCATCATTCTTAAGAATTTTTTTCCTCTCTCTTCTCTGGTGAATCCCTATACTCCTGTGATTTCACGTATCTTGAAGAACTCCCTTGTTATCTAGGAGTGCACCCTTCAATAACTTCAGGGAAAAGTCTAGAAAATTGTTTCTCACTTTCTGAAAATAACCTTATGCTGTTTCTCAAACTATTTCCTTTAGCTTCCTGTTCTGGAAATTAAAGTGATTTTTTTTAATTGAATTTCCTGGCCAGATACGCTCATTTTAAAATCTGTTCTTTTTTCCATTTTGTTGTCTTTTTTCTCTACTTTCTGGATAACTTCTTGAACTTTAAATTCTAGCTTGGGTATTGAATATTTTATTCAATTATACTTAATTTTTTCTTATCCCTCCAAAGGTCTGAAGACATTAATTATAATAAGCTACTTTTTTTGTTTTCTACTGTTCTCTACATTGTGAATGTTTCTTTATTTTGCATGTTACAGCAGGCCTCCAAGCCCCCAGCAAGTCTCCACTCTGGGCTTCTCTGGCTTCTTTCTTCCCTTCTCTCTCCTGCTTCCCTTCTCTCTCCTGCTTCCCTTCTCTCTCCTGCTTCCCTCCTCTTGGTGACTATCTCAATACTCCTCCCATAGCCCACAGAAGTAAATAGGACAGCTTGCAACAATATAACAACTACAGATACCCCATCAAGCAGGGCAATCCTAATGGTGGGAGGGCAGAAAAGCCTGAAAACCATTTACCAAACCATTTACCCTACAACCTACTCCCTCAGGGTTCTCTGCTAGACAGTTTATATATATACAGTTTTCCCTTAACAAACATAAACAATGCAGCCCACAAAAGAAAATAAACAATACAACAGAACACAAGTGAGTCCAGGCAGGGCACCCACCTAGTGGCAAAAGACAATTATTGGCACCAGCAGATGATCCACCATTTTTGCTGCAGAAGGCACTGCTCATATGAGGGAGGGAACCATGCGGGCATCTGCCCTCACACACCAGGATGCGTCAGGTTTCCTGGCCTTCTCTGGCTGTGGTCTCAGCCACAAGCCACACTGCATCCACCCCCAGGACGCAATCACTCTTGGATTGGTGATTTTGTACTTTGGAAGTAATCGCCCAATCCTCAGGGTTCTGTCTGCAGTTGCTCCAACACTTGGCTTTCATAGCCACCAATGCAACATGCAGGCCCCTGTACTCAGGCCAACCCATTGCACAGGCACATGGGTCAGGGATCAGTGGATACAAGCTCCACATGCGGCCTCTCTCGGGTCCCCTCTTTGGCTGTGGGCTCCACCACAAGCCACGTTCTCCACCGGTCCCCCAAGGACTGGCTCCTCAACAACTCACCTCACTCAACCATGAGCAGGGAATCACCCACAGGTGATTTTAAAAGACTCACTGACCTTCTTCAACATACTTAGGCTGCTTAGCAGCCGCTCAGGACTTCCCAATCTCAGCACCAGCTTTTGCCTTTTCCTCTGCCTAGCTGCTGTTCAGTACACAGGTTGCTTTTGGCCATCAAGGCCCACTGGCCACCCCCAGATCAGGGAGTACAAACAATACCATCCTCCCCCAGTGTCCCCAAAACAGAACATTACCCTGCCAAAGTTCCTCCGCCTTCTGGCAGGATTATAAGTCCAAGTCCATCAGTCTTTTCCTGCATCAGCACTGGTGAGCTCCAAATCGTGGTCCTTTCTTCCCCCAAAATTCTGCTGCCGCAGGGGTCGTGGGCTAGTCCTTGCCAGCCATCTCTTCCTCCAGGCGAGGTCTTGTCCCACAGCTCCCAGACCTTGTCTTTTGCTCCTGCAGCTTCTTTTGCCCTTCCCACAGCTCCTGGACTTTGGTCACTACCTGTGCTGCCATGGCATGTCCAGCGTTGTCACAGGCAAACACAGTCTGCTCCTCCTCAGTCCCTCCTGAGGTCTTCAGAGGGCTCCATACCCATCTGCTTCGCATTATCTTGCCGAATTACGCCAGTTGTAGTGGCAGGAAAGCCACTGAGCAGGTTCTCTATGATCTGAGCAGACTGGGAAAAGGACAAGTCCTGGAGTCCTTGGTGGGTTTCTCAGGCTTTTATTGAGCTGTTACATGCAGAGCAGCAACCAGGTACACAGCCTGCAGGGGTGCTGGGGGCAGGAGGCCAGGAGGCCTCCAAACCCCCAGCAAGTCTTCACTCTGAGCTTCTCTGGGGTTCTTTCTTCCCTTCTCTCTCCTGCTTCTCTCCTCTTGGTGACTATCTCAATACTCTTCCCATGGCCCACAGAAGTAAGTAAGACAGCTCGCAACAATGTAACAGCTGCAGGTGCCCTATCTGGCAGGACTATCCTAATGGTGGGAGGGCAGAAAAGTCTGAAAACCATTTACCAAACCTTTTACCCTATACCAATATTTTTGAAAGCCAAACACACAAAAAAAAAAAAAAATGGCGAGCAGCTGTTTTTAGTGCTGATTTGTGTTGACTATTGGGTTTTATTACAATGATAACTTGCAGGGATTTGTCTATTTTTATAGGTGACTCCCACCTATTTGTCTCTGCAGGTCTTCACTCTAGACAGGTTTTCATTTATTTTCTCAAGAAAGGATGGAGGAGTGGGATGGGCAGGGAGTGGAATGGAAGTAGAAAACTGGTTACCAGCTATTGGCAGTAGGAAGAAAATAGTTTGTTTCACCCACTTTGATATACACTTCCCCATCCCCCCCCCCTTTTTCAGTAAGGTCCCCTGTCCACAGCTGTGCCTGTCTCTGAGAACAGAGTGGAGTCTCTTTAACCTTAATCTAAAGTAAAGTCACTCTATTTCATGATGTCATGACAAGCAGCGGGGGTGAGAGGTAGGGCAGGTTGCTATCTGGTTACGAAGACTGTAGGAGGATATTTAGGAGTGCATTGATTTTTGCCTATTTTCAATCAATTCCTTTTCAGGATTCTGTCTCAGCAATGGGCTTACTTCTTTGCTCCCCGTCCCAACCCTGGGCATTTACTTTCTAAGGTTAGTAACAATCATTTCTCAGTTTTCTCTCCAGTTTATAAATAGTTATTGATATTTCTTCTCTTCTCTCTTTTTTCACATTTCTTTGTCTTGTGGCTTTCATGCTTTGTCATTTTAGTGGATTTAGGGAGAGTGGTGAGCGTGTCATGCTTAACTTGTCCTTACCATTCTCCAAGTTCAATTTTAAAACCTTCCAAAGATGTGCCAAGTGACTGGAATAAAATCTCATCTTTTGTGTGGGCTATGAAGCCCTATATGTACCACTCTTCCCTTTTTCAATATGCTCCAACCACACTGGCTGCCTTCTGTGTCTTGAATCAACACACCAACCTCACTGTTTTCCCCCCTTCCTCCCTGCCTCCCTCCCTCCCTGCCTCCCTGCCTCCCTGCCTCTCTGCCTCTCTGTCTCTTTCCCTTCCCCTCCCTCCCTCTCTCCCTGCCTTCCTTCTTTCCTTTCTTCCTTCCTTTTTTCCTCAGAATCTCTGTTCTTGCAGTTCCCTTCACCCATAAGTATCCAGCTCCCCCACCCCCACACACAATCACACAGCTGGATCCTTCTGATCAAATGCCTTAAATAAGGCAAACATCAACATCCTCCAGCAGCCATTCTGTTTTCTTACTCAGAAATAGAATGCCCAGTTTTTAACTTGGCATATGGCCATCCAAGATATTTTCTAGACTCTCTAACAGCTGATAAGGCTAGATTAGTGCTAGCCAGTGAGTATCTGGGTATCGCATGTGTAAGTTTCAGGAAGGGTCATTGAAAGTAAACTGCTTGCCCTTCTTCATTCCCTCCCCTCCCTTCTTCCTACTGGCTGGCCTGCGGAAATGACACCTGGAGAAAAACCTTCAGATACTGGGAGCCAGGATGGGGGTGGAGAGGGCAACAAGATGAAGAAGGCTAGATCCATGATGCTGCTGAGTCATTCAGTCCTAGAATGCTCACCTACACACTCCATTTACGCGGTGGAGAAATAAACACTTATTTTTTTTAAAGTCACTTCTATTTTAAGATTTCTGTCACTTACAGCCAAATCTAATCCTAATGGAAAAAAAGGTTCAGGTTAGTATCCCCAGAGTAGTATCCCCTATTTCATCACTTCTTATAACATCCTTATAACACTTTAGGTTACCTGGATTTACCATACTTTTAAGTTCTATCTTGGTTTAGTATTTTTCTCTCCCAGCTAGAACGTAAGCTACGTGAAGATTGAGAACACATCCAGGTCCTAGAATGGGAGCTGGCATAGACGAGATGTTTTAAACATTTGTTGACCAAATAATGATTCCTGGTCAGTCAAGCCAGAGTCCTGCTAGTATTAGGAAAGCAGGCAAAAGGCTCTAGATTCTCCCAGCGTGGAACAGTTTTTTAATTCTCTCCGCTCAAACTCCACACTCATTCATCAGATTTCTGACTACTAAGTCAATTTTCCAAGTCTTCGAAGCAAGAAAGTAAGGCCTCAAAAGAGATGACTCAAACCTCTTGGACAATAGAAAGGTTATGTCTCCTGTTATAAATTAATCAACTGGCCTTGTAATTTATAGCAGAACATGGGCAGACAAAAATTTGAACAGCAGTTTTACCACATAGAAATGTGAACTTGTAAATGCAATGTTACTTAGATCTGCTGAGGTTTGTTTCCTCATTTGTAAAAACTTAATTGGACTGATTTGAGGACCAAATGAGACAATGCTCTCAGGGGATTAAGCGATTTACTGGAGGAGAAGGCCTAGAAGTAGGAAAAGTAGATTTTAAATTCATATCTATATGATGTTGGATTCCTAGTCTTTCACCTCTATTCTATGCCACCACTAAAGAGGCCCCTGTGACTGTCCTTGTCAGTCTTATGTTCCTTATTTTTTAGAACATCTCTGCAACTAATTTAGAAAGAATGCTAATGTGTATGTGTGTGTGTATATGCATGTATGTATGTATGTATGCCGGCATGCTATAAATCTCAGCTTTATTTGGTTAAAAGAGACTCAGCATTTAAGACCTGGAGTTTGTTTAGTTATATAATTAGCGCATTTGGTAGGAAGAATAACTTTTGGTTTAGAAGGAAGTATGGGTACGTAGGGTAAATGATTGTTCGGGCTTTTCTGCCCTTCTTTGGTTAGGATTGCCCTGCAGTTGTTACACAGTTGTAAGCTGTGTTGTTTACGTCTGTGGGCCATGGCTCAGTATTGAGATATTCCCCAAGAGAAGCAAAGGCAGGAGAGAGAACAGAAGACAAGGGGAGAAAGAATGCCAGAAGAGAGAGAGAAGCCCAGAGAGAAGACTTGCCAGGGGCTTGGAGGCCAGTGCCTCCTGGCCCCCCGGGTACCCCTGTGTGCCATGTACCTGGTTGCTGCACTACATGTAAAAGCTCAATAAAAGCCTGAGAAAGCCACCGAGGGCTCCAGGACTCTCCTTTACCCGTCTGCCGGATCAGAGAAAACCTGCTGTGTGCCTATCCTGCCCCCACAATTGGCAAAGTTGGCAAGATAATTCGGAGCAGTCAGGTATGGAGCCCTCTGAAGACATCAGGAGGGATTGAGGAGTAGCAGACTTTGTTTGCCCCTGACGGTGCTGGACGTGCCACGGCAGCACAGGAGATGACCAAGGTCCAGGAGCTGCAGGAAGAGCTAAAGATGCTGCAGGAGCACAGGAGGTGGATAAGGTCCGGGAGCTGGGGGACGAGAGAGACCTCGAGTGGAGGAGGATATGGCCTGTGAGGACCAGCCCACAACCCCTGAGGCAGCAGAATCGTTGGAGAAGAAAGGACCACGATTCGGAGCTCGCCAGTGCTGACACAAGGAACAACGGATGGGCTTGGACTGACAACCCCGCCAGAAGGTGGAGGAGCTTTGGCAGGGTAATGTTCTGTTTTGGGAACCCTAGGGGAGGATGGCATTGTTTGTACATCCCAGGAGATGGGAATCTGGAGGTGGCCAGTGGGCCACAGTGTTTAAAAGCAGCCTGTGTCCTGCCCAGCAATCCTAGGACCACCGCCCAGAGTAGAGGCCAGAGTAGAGGAAGGGGCAGGTATGAGAAGAGCCCAAGAGGCTGAGGGAGGAAGCCCTTACCAAATTCTCTGCAGCCAGGCAGAAGAAAAAGCCAACATAGATAAGGCAAAAGCCAGTGCTGAGATTGGGAGGCCCTGAGCAGCTGTTAAGCAGCCTAAGTATGCTGAAGAAGGCCAGTGAGTCTCTTAAAATCACCAGTGGGTGATGTCCTTTTCATTGTCGAGTTAGGGTGAGCAGCTTAAGAACCTGTCCTTGGGGGACAGGTGGAGAACGTGGCTTGTGGTGGAGCCCACAGCCAAAGAGAGGACCCAAGAGAGGCCGCATGTGGAGCTTGTATCCACTGATCCCCGACCCATGTGCCTGTGCAGTGGGTTGGCCTGAGTGCAGGGGCCTGCGTGTTGCATTGGTGGCTATGAAAGCCGAGTGTTGGAGCGACTGCAGACAGAACCCTGAGGATTGGGCGATTACCTCCAAGGTACAAAATCGCCAATCCCAGAGCTAGTGCATCCTGGGGGTGGATGCAGTGTGTGGCTTATGGCTGAGACCACAGCCAGAGAAGGCCAGGAAACCTGACAGCTCCTGGTGTGTGACAGCAGACCTGAGTGGTTCCCCTCCCTCACATGAGCAGTGCCTTCAGCAGCAGAAGTGATGGATCATCTGCTGGTGCCAGTAATTGTCTTTTGCCACTAGGTTGGTGCCCTGCCTGGACTCGTGTTCTGTTGTATTATTCAGTTGTATTTTCTTTTGTGGGCCATGGCTGCAGTGTTTACGTTTAAGGGAAAATTGTATATAAGGTATATGTAGACTGCATAGCAGAAAACCCTGAGGGGGTGGATTGTAGCGTAAATCATTTGCAGACTTTTCTGCCCTCCTGCCATTAGGATTATCCTGCCTGGTGGGTACCTACATTCGTTACATTATTACAAGTTATGGTGTTTACTTCTGTGGGCTCAGTATTGAGACAGTCACCAAGAGAAGCAGAAGCAGGAGAGCTAAGGGGAGAAAGATGCCAGAAGAGAGAGAGGGAGAAACCCAGAGTAAAGACTGGCCAGGGGACTTGGAGGCCTCCTGCCTCCCTCCCCACCCCTGTGTGCCGTGTACCTGGTTGCTGCACTACATGTAAAAGCTCAATAAAAGCCTGAGAAAGCCACCGAGGGTTCCAGGACTCTCCTTTACCTGGTCTGCTTGGATTAGAGAACCTGCCCTGTGCCCATCCTGCCACCACAGGTACAATCAGTGAATTCCAGTTCTAGTCCACCATTAACAGTATAGAATTTGTCTCTGAGAGAACTGCTTTAATAAGTTTTATTGTGAAAGCTAAAACAAATAGTGTTGAGATATAATACACATGCCACATAATTTGGTTATTTACAGCATACAAATGAAAGTAGAATTTTGCTACAATCATCAATTAATTTAGAACATTTAATTACCCCCAAAGAGAAGCTCCATACCCATTAGCAATCATGCTCCATTTCTCTGCTCCTCCTCCACATCCCGCCAATCCAGTCATAGACAACCACAACTCTGTCTTCAGTCTCTGTAGATTTTCCTGTTCTAGATAATTCATATAAATGGAATCATACTTTATGTGGCCTTTTGTGATTGTTTTCTTTCACTAAGCATAACATTTTTCTTCCTTGTAGAACCTTGTAGCAGTGCTACATTTCTTTTTATGGATAAACAATAACCCATTGATTGTATATTCCACATTTTGTTTATCAACTCATCAGTTGTTTCTGTTGTTTCCACATTTGGGCTGTTAGGAATAATACAGCTATGAACACTTATGTTTAAGTTTTTATATGGACTTGTTTTAGTTTCTCTGATATTTAACCAAGAGTGGAATAGCTGAGTCATATGGTAACTTTTGAAGATTAACCTTTTGAAGATTTCCAGATAGCTTTTTAAAGCAATTGCATCATTTCAACATTCCAGCAATTTCTTCACATCCATATAGCACTTATTATCTGTCTTTTTGCTAATAGCCATTT